CTCCAACTCGGTGATCCCCGAGTACGACGGCATCGCCGTGACGCACAACGGCTTCCGGTACTACCTGCCACGGCAGTACCAGGAAGAGGAGAACCTCCCCGGCGACCGGAAGGCGGGCAGCTTCGGCTACGTCGACCCCTTCGGCATCCGGAGGGTCATCTACTACAACACGTCGCCCGGCTCCGGCTTCCAGGTGCGGAAGAACAACCGCTACGTCGGCTTCAACTCCACCCCCTACGACCCTCGATACTAGACGCCGCCGCACGGGCTTTACCTCCTCTATGTTTCAATGGGGTGATAGCTTGGTGCAGTAAGTGCGACCTCGCCCTGGTACCGAAGAGACGCGACCCAGCCGAGGGCGAGAGGAGGCAACGGCTGCGAACTGTCGCTTGCCAAGGGCCTGGCTCTTAAGACCAGCCCGATCAAGCGACAATGTTCAGAAGTGCCCTTCTTACTTGAGTAGCTTTGAGGGTTATTTTTCGCCAAGCCGCCTTTGCATTTAGTCGGTATAGAAAGTTTGATGGGGCTTGCCAGAAAATAGCCCTCGAGTACTATGAGACAAAATGATTCACACCTCGTACGTTTTGGTTGATATCTCTTTTGCTCACGAGCAGCCTCGTACGACAATATGACGAATTCAGAAAACCATTCACAAGTTAAGAATGACGCGTGCCATTCTGCAGAACGAAAGTGTTGATTACCTTTTAGCAAACGTGCCAAGTATTACGATGATAACAGCTCAATAAAATGCGTTACTTATGATCAAACAAGCACATGACGCTCTCGTTGTAAGTTGAAATTAAAGTTTATTTAATTTCTTGCCATTTTTGGATGAAAGGGAAAATCTTGTGGGGTAACATAGTTTGGTGAAGGGTCTCCCTGGCCAAAACTGACAGTTGACTGTTGACTCACTAGATTTTTTAAACAAAAAATACAGTATGAATGTGATTTTAGGCTATGCTTAGTTGTATGAGTGATGTGTACATAATAATTAGTAGGATTATTTTCTTTGTTAACGAACGTTTTGGACGATAACGAAAATGTCCATCGTTTTCCCCTATTGTAGGTTTACAAAGCTCGACAGTAATTTTTCTGTGATATCGAGAACGCGACACTTTTCACTGCGAAGAAAAGTTGTGTCTAGTGGTTACCGCCGTATGCTAAAAGATACGTAAAATTTAAGGAAAACATAAACGGTTGTATGATGATGTACTTTTAATCTTGTTTTGATCAAATGAGTTTTGAAATACTATCTAATTTATTCACACAAAGGTAAGCTGAAGCGTAATACATACAAACAAGTAGTAGTGTTCTATACCTAGTTTCCCTCTAGTCATATAGGTGAAAGAGCGCTGGTCTAGAGGGCAACTAAATCGATTTTTATTTGTGAAACCGCATGACGGAAAACCCACAGTTGCCATGATTATGTATTTAAGCAAAATGTTTTTGAGTATTGAACTTGCACACTTTAGTAATTGTCTGCTTACTGTACCTTTTAGCTTATTCCAAGTGAACCAAAGGTTCGCGCCATATGAAGACTGCCCTTCACTTCCCTTTGAGTTTCTTTGAAATTACATTTGCTATGTCAAGCAACTGAGTGAACACGAAACTAACTTGCTAACTTATAACAATGATTTTCTTTTATTTCACGAAATATTTTGAAATAAATATAAAGTTACAAATAGTTTTTCCATAGTGAATAGTAAGACTCCTCTATGACATCCTGGATGTGTTGAGTGTGACGTTTTCAGCTGCATGGGTCACACCAACTGAGACCGCAAAGGTCAACCTCTCCGTTTCGGATTTTAGGTCCTCATTGGGCTGGCGGCGGCAACGCACACACGTAAGAATTCAAAATAAGGTGCTCAATATTTATAGGATTTGGCTGCTTCCTTGCAAATATTACTCAAGATTCTTCAGTTGTCTTAATGAGTGGGTCACATGACATTAATATGCTCAACGTCCTATGTCTCTCCTTGTGAAATGTATTTTGGCAAGTAAGAGGATAACAGCAAAAATGCTGAAAAATCATTGTTAAATCAGTTCAAAGCTTTTCATGCAGGATTTGATTTCTACAAAACATTTCTTTGCAAATGCCGAGCCTCTTAATCCTTCGCGAATTGAAAAGCATGTGCAGTACGGGACGTTAAGGGAACAGTATATTATTGTTAAAATCCTTAAAAAATTTACTGTTATTGATCTGCCATGGACGCACTAAAAATCCCAGTGGAAAAAGCAGAAAAAAATAGAAAAGCAGGGAGGTTGGAGGTGAGCGGGTGGAATGTGTTCTACGTGATGGAGTTAAGGGGGGAGGGGGGGAGTGACTCCTGTGAGGAAAAGATGTAGAAAATAAAAGTTGGGTTTGAATGGAGGAAGGGGGGAGAATCTGCGGAGCGGGCGACCAACAGAAGCGTATGCTGCGACAGTATTTAGGCACAGGTGGAGGTCGGATCACAACGCAGTCGCGCGAGACACGGGTCACCGGTGCGGAACAGTCAGCAAGTCCCTAAACTATGGTAAGCTTAATGTTAGATCAGAAATCGAAATTTTCAAGTTAAAAACAACAAACTTCTCCAGTGATCCTCTCCTACGAACCGCGTCTGCCTTTGCAGATGAGTTCTCACGTGGTATGGACGGCTCTGGCCCTGCTCACCGTGTGCGCGCTGACGCCGCTGACGAGCTGCGAGAGCGACGAGGACAAGCCCTACAAGTTTGGCTTCAACATTGAGAAGTACCAGCACCGGCTGGAAGAGAAAGGTGCGTGCGTTTGGTGAAAAGTCACATAATTTCACACGTGCCTTTACAATCGACCGACGTGTCCGTAATTCTGCTGATTGCTTATGTGTTGTAGACAAAAAGGGTATCGTGAAGGGGGAGTTTGGCTTCGTGACCGGTGACGGTGTGTACCACGAGACGGCCTACGCGACCGACGAAAATGGAGACTTCAAAATCCTGGGCATGAGGAGCTACTTCGTCGGCCTGCGTGAGTATACACATAGTGTCGGGTGCGCGCCCTCGCGCGCGCCTCCTTATTCGCGCGTTACACCGAAAACTCAAGTAAGTGTGTGAATGTCGCACACTTGTATGTGTGTGAACGCCATTCGTACACATGGAGATGCACAAGTCTGTAAATTGTCAAAGGCAAATTCACACCTTCAGCTCCTGCAAGTGTACGAACGAATGGTCATGCACACATCTACTAGTGTGCGAGATTCACACACTTGCGTTTTGCAGAGTATTCGCGGCCCGGCGGCGCGTGCCCGCGTAAGCGACGATAAACCATTTTCTGGCACTTTGATTGCCCGCGACAAGACGTTTACCCCGCGTTATCCGCGCGACCGCTGGCAGCAGACGCCGCCCACTTCCTCGGCCATAAAATTGTGGTTTTGTTTCCTCTTTTCGACCCATTCCGAGCCATTGACTATAGAATCATCAGACTCTCACTCGGCCGGACCCCCCGCAGCCCGCCGCTCTATGATGTGGTCCTGCTGCTCACTGGATCCTAAAAATATGAAACGACACAGGCTTCACCTGCTCATAAGTGTAAGACTAGAATATGCTAAGACAAAAAAATAAAATCAAAACGCTGACGCAGCGCCGGCGACGGCGCGGCTACTTCGGCCGTTGTCACCTATAACGTGTGGTCACCGCTCGCACGCGCCCTGCCGAGTTCCGCCTCTAATATTCGAAAGGAGTGCCATCACCAAGGTCATCCAGCTTTGTCTAGGCTGACATTTTTTCGACGCGACCTACGAGTCAACCGCTCGGCTGTTTTGGAGAAAGGAGTACCAAACAAGGAAGAAAATGAAAACTGATAAACAAAATGAATTCTAAAATTTTCCTGAGTAGAGAACAGAATTCGGAAACGGGAAGGGAAAAGAGAATTTTTATTACGGAAAAGTGTTTTCTTTGTCCATGCTCTAAAATGCTAGGCTGAGAGCCCCAGGTAGAACACAATCGTCAAAAACTCGTCAATGACCCTCATTTGACGGCAAAATGAGCTCATTCTGGCTATCTAGCCGTAGTAAATTTTGACGATGAGCGTCAAAAAGAGGTCATTGTGACAAACGTGTTCTACCTGGAAGGACAACAGTATGAGCGCCTGGTAGGTAGGCAATAGTCTCGTTCTGCTGCGCATCGCAGCTGAGCGGGAGGCCTACCCAACGGTCGCCAGGGGTCCAGAGGGAGGAGGTTGAGTGAGTGAGAGAGAATCAAGACAGGGGGAAAGAGAGAGGGAGCGGGAGAGAGGAGGGTGGGAAGAGGGGCAGAGGGGGTGGAGGGGGAG